GTAAGAAGTTCATTTAGAGATACTACTGAAACTAAAGAGTCTGTTTTATCGGCCTTGTACAAATTTGGCCGACCTTTCAGCATCCTCTTAAACCTTGCCATACTTGGAAATAATGGTAGGATGGAGACTGGAATTTTGAACTCCGAATTATACACATGATTCGCAATAAACCAACTACTGCTAATTAGACATACTAGCCAAAAGTGTGCTGAGATCTGATAGGAAACGATAAATGATTTTTATTCTTCGGTGATGGTTATGCGATTACACAGCGAGAAATAATTTCTAAGCTCAGGTAGTGAGATTACGAGGTGACGGAACATGAACCCGCCGTAGAGGAGATGTGCGTCAAACCGGAGCATTACTCGTTGTTATTGAATAATTATTATTTTAATTATAATTAAGATAGAGTACCGATAATTGGCACATATGCGTTGGGCAACAATTCTGTATCATTTTGTTTGTTTAGGTCATTTTTTTGTTTGCTGATGTGCACCATCTCCGATATCAGTCTCTTGCTGTAGTTCGGCTCATTATTCAAAATACACCCTCCCAATTAAACTCGTGGTTCATGTCAATTCTATAGTTGGAAATAACTGAAGGAGAACCGACTTTCTTTTTTATATCCGCATAATGCTCTTTGATTCTTGTGCGTAGTTGACGTTTAGTTTGACCCACATATGTAGCGTCGCAGTCTTGGCAAGATACCTTGTAAACTACATCATAATGCGACATCGTCTCCAAGGCATCCTTGCCACTTTTAATGAATTTTAGAGAATTTGGGATTATGAACGATATTTTAGTGCTCTTTTTGCTATCACAGGTTTACGAACTTAAGACTAACACAGAGTGTTCTTAGCAATAGGTGAACATTCTTCAATGGGCAGTATACATAATTTTGCAGCCGAACACTTGTACTCTCCGGTCGATGTTCTAATGATCGCCTCTTTACCACCTTGTCGGATCTTTTGTACTCGCCCGAGTACCCATGTACCAAGGCAGCAGACTATCTTCTCAACAGAGAACTAGCTGGCCAACTTGAATCTGAGGATTAATGTTAGCCAATTATTTGCTACGTCGTTGTAAATTAAGCAGATGACCATCTCCTCCAAAAGTATTGACGTATCTGTTCTAACAATTGCTATCTTGATAGCTGATTAATTTTCACTTCCATCAGATGTACGTCAGAATAGGATGTCAAAGTGTTACCTATTAAAAAGTGATCTGGAGATAAATAACTTGTCATTAGGATCATTGGAAAGAGCAATCAAAGGGCGCGAATTTAAAATTGCTTTAATTTGCGACACTAGCATAGAAGCTTCTTTTAAAATCATAAAAGTCTCTTTTGCAACTTTATAAAAATGATTCTCTTGAAAGACTTCACTACGCTCTCCCATACTCCAAAGTGAGATGCGCGGGCTGGAATGTAATGCCATTTGATACTTTCAGAGGATGCATAATCGATAATATTGCGCTTTTCTTGTTTCAGTGCAAATAGTTTTCGGCACTTCTCTAGTTCTTTATTTGCGTTAACAAAATTTGTGCCATTATCTGAATATACATTGACGGACTTGCCTCGGCGACTAATAAATCGCTTAAATGCATTAAGGAATGCGTCGGTGCTCATATCTGAAACAATTTCTAAATGTAGCCTTAACTATCATACAAATAAATACTGCGATATAAGTTTTGAATCATTTTGCACTTCTTCTTCTGCCTTCACGTAAATAAATGGGACTGCAAAAGTCAACACCCGTGTTCGTAAAAGGTCTAGAAGGATTTATTCTATCGAAAGATAAATCTTTCATTATTTGCTCCGAGCTACACGATTTGAACCTAAAACACTTAATACATTTGTGAATTAATTTTTTCGTGCCGCGCGCCTTGATAGGCCAATATATATCTGCCAAATCGCAGCTTGCTTCCACGCTGGTATGATAATGCCTTGCATGTTCGTGAAGAATTATTAGTTCCGTGAGCTTAGAACGGAGAAGCAAAATCAATGGATATTTGACATCGCGTTGCAGGTCCGCATGTTGCAGTCTACCTCTTACGTAATAAATCTTCATCTATCACTTGATTGAGATATTTTAATCGACTACTATTGGAAATTGCCTTGCCTTTTTGTAACGGAGTTATTTCTAACCAGAACTCCGACAGCTGTTTTATTTTAATTAGAGATTGTTTCGTGCGTTCTAATTCTTCTACTGTTAATGGGCTTACTTCGTTTCTTTTACAAAGATTCGCAAATCTCAGGCATGTGGCTGTGACTCTAATGAGTCTTTTCAAGGTTGAAAACTTATTTATGAAACTGCCATTGGATTGTTCAGTGGCCGCTAGCATAGCGATGCGTTCTGTTTGCTCGTTCGTCTGCTCTCCTTCCGGCCACGACTGCTGCTCGATCCAAATCAGGTTCTTTAGCCATGTGGGACCGTTCCACCATAGCTGAACATCGCATCCTTTGGTGCAACTCCTCTTGATACTATGTCGGCGGGATTTTTCTTCGTACCAACATGATTCTAATCTTCTATCATAGTGGATTCTTGAATCTCTCCTACTCTGTGCGCAACGAAGACTAGAAGCTTTTTGTTTGTGGATTTGATCCAAGTACGATAGCTGAATCCGTCCAATAATGCACTTTAGAAATTTTTATGGCCTTGATCTTATTAATCAATTGCATTAACAACTGAGCTCTGCATAATTCTCAATTGTAAGCGGGGAATTGATACTGTTTTTGTTGGCGCTATTCTTGATTTGGCGCACAATAAATGAAATTGCACAGAATTGTTTTCGTCGAGACTTCTACTGTAGATGCACGCCCCGTATACCCGCTCGCTAACGTCGCAAAATCTATGTACATACCTGAATTTGCTTCAAATCTGAACTGTCTCCGATAACTCGACGCTGCACGTAGAATTCGTTTAAGTGTTGCATGTCTGCAACATACCTAGACCACTTGAACAATATGTCTGACGTCCCAGTCCAATTGAAGCTTCAGCTCCAGTATGAAAATTTTGGTTGTTACTATTACCAGAACTAACAAGAGGATCCGAGAGGATCAAATATTCGAGCTATATTGGATAGCATTATTCTTTTCGTGCACAATATAAAACAAGATAATTTGATCGAGTATAGTATTGAAACAAATCTTTGGAATTATTCCACTTGACATCTAAAGTTTTAGAAGTGCCGTCCTTATTCGGTTCCAAAATAGAATTTTTTGTTATTTGCCTTGGAATATCGACTAAGTCTTCACTATTTGAAGCCTTAGCACGAATTCGCTTTTTAGCAGCAACGCTGCCACTTGATCACGAATCGTCCTCATCTTTTTGACTGAATTTGCTCCTGTTATGAGATTGTTCATATAGAAGTCTCTTTTTGCTATTGTTGCACTTATCGGGAACTCATTTTTCTCTAGATCGGCTAATTGATGTATCACCTTCGTTATCAAGAATGATGCGGGCGCGGTTCCGTAAGTCAAAGTTAGCAATTCATAAGTTTATTTCTTCCGTAGGATTATTTCTCCAAAGTATACGTTGCAGCGACGTATAACTTTCGTCTACGAGTACTTGTCTGTACATCTTAGCTATATCCGAGGTCATTACATATTTAAAGCCCCTAACCTCAGCAATATTGAAAACAGATCTTACTATATAATTGTCCATCATTAAATCGATCATTAAGGCATCGTTTAACGAAACGCCGCTCTTACGGAAAATAAGTATTGAGGCTCAATACTTAGTATTGAGGTTTTAATACTTAGTATTAAGATTATAATACTAAGTATTGAAAGTCAGTATTGGTGAATATTTAAGTATTGATGGAGGTTAAGTATTGATGAATACTGAGTATTGAGAGTCAATATTGGTGAATATTAAGTATTAGAAATTAGTATACATCAATACTTATGTATTTATCTAGTTAAGTATTGATAGTTAAATATTGAGTATTGACAGTCAATATT